AAAAAAAAATTACCACTTAAATATATAATAATATAGAAAAGAAAAGGGCATAAATATTCTAAATTAGTTATCTTTGTTAAATTTAAATCGAATAAGTATGATTCAATGCATAATAAAATGACAATACCCAACTCAACTGAAGTCAAAATTAATAATGAGAGTGACAGCAAAATTACTTGTATTTTTTTTTTTGAAAACATAAGAGAATTCAATTATCTATTTAATTAAAAACACAGACAACAAAAATGAAAAACAACTGGATTTCTAATACTTAGGATACAGCTAGTTCCTTCAAGTGTAATCCAATTTTCCAATTTCTGTCAAGATCAAATTTGGCCAGTTGTCGAATTTTGATTGAGATCCAGCCAATCAACGTCTGCCACGCGTCTTTCTTTGTTTAATAATTTTGACTTCAACAGAATTGAAAGGATGGTCTAGGATGCGGTTTTTTTCCGCAATGTGATTTTTAAGAAGTTATTTTTTAATTTTTTTATATTTATTTATTTTTAAGAAAGCTAATTAATAAAAAATATTTTTTAATTAAAAAATTAGTTTAATTTTTTAGAAAAATATTTTTTTTATTTTAGACAAAAAACACTTTCCAGTTAAAGAAAAATTTAACTTTGTTTTCCGCAAAGTATTTTTCTTTTATTCTAAGCAAAAAATACTTTTTAAAAGTTTGAAAAATTTATAAATATTGTATTATTTGTTGACTATATCAAATTTGATCATTAAATTTTGTTTTATATATATTTTATTTTAAATATTTATTTTTCAATTTTATCTATTATAATTTGATTCTTATATTAACTTTAGTCCTTATTTTTATAATTTTTATTTGTTTTTTCCTTGTTTTAATTGAAATTTTTTATCATTCAACTTTGATCTTTATTATTTTGATTATTACTTATTTTATTTGAAATAATTTATGAAATATTAATTATTATTATTTTATTTTTTAACTTTTTAGATTCGATCTCTATTATTTTGATAATTATTTATTTTATTTGAGATAATTTATGAAATTATATTTTTTTCAATTTTATTATCATTCAAAATTTTAATTTATAAGATTTTCTTCTTATTATTTTAATAAATTTGAGAAAAATAAAATATTAATAAGTTATTTTTCAGCTTATTTTTCATGACATAATCAAATACTTGAAAATATTTTTTAATTTATTTTTTATTATACTACAAAACATTAAAAAAATAATTTATTTTTCTAAGATTCACTTTAAAAAAAATTACTTTCCAATAAAAAAAGGTGTATAATCTCATCAAAAATTCAAAATCTTTTTTGATTATTAAACAATAATACCGGGCTAGTTTTTAACTTTTGCAGGCTCTTCATCTACTACTATTATTTGTAATTTTTTTAGTTATTTTTTTAAATATTTTTATTTAAAAAATATTTTTTTATCTTTTAAAATTTAATTTTAATCTCATCACAAATTCAAAATCCTTTTGAATTATTAAACAATAAAAACCGGCTAGTTTTTAACTTTTATATGGCTCCTTATCTACCACTACTGTTTGTAATTTTTTGTTTACTTTTTAAATATTTTTATTTTTTTTTTAATTTATTTTTGATATTAATATATTAAAATTATTAAAAAAACAGAAAAACTTAATTTAAAATAATAAAAAAATATTTTTTTAAAAAAACACGAATCATCAGTAAATATCATTTTTGTTCTTACTCCGTCTGTCAACGCCAAGCGGGAAAATAGCCGCCACTAACCTTACCCATTGATAGTGTCCACTACCAGAATCTCACATATCCCGCCGTTAGTTTTAACGCCGCAATCTCTTTTGTCACTTTAAGGAAAGCAAAGATCTTTATAGCGAGGAAGAGTTGTTTTTGTTGCTGCTTTTGTTAGGGTTTGTTTATAGCTAGGGTTTGTTTTAATGGACGAGAGTTTACTTGACGACATAATACGGCGGTTAGTGGAAGCGAAGAATGGGAGGACGACGAAACAAGTTCATTTGACTGAGGCGGAAATCAGGCAGCTTTGTTTGGCTTCTAAGGAGGTTTTTCTTAGTCAGCCAAATCTTCTCGAGCTTGAAGCACCTATTAAGATCTGTGGTAAAGAAATGGAAAAGTCTGCTCTTTTTTCTTTCTCTTTTCAGTTTTCATTGTTTTGTTTTTGGTTTAATATAATGTGAATTTGAACTTATTTATGTGAAATTTGAGAAATAGTTTTAGAGCTCATTTGTGGACAAATAGAGTGGAATATTCACGCCGGTAAGAAAATAGCGGCGAAAGCGAGCAGGTGAATAATGCTTGTTTTCTTCTTCTTCTTTTTCCTGATAGATGATAAAAGGAGGAGCAGGGATGTGAACTTCGATTCTTTTTCTGTAATAGTTTGTGGAGACGTAAGTTAAGAATGTAAGACAGGAGCATTAGATAGGAAATGTTTTAAACATCATTGAATAGTTGTAGTTCTGAGATGACTACTGGCTTTGTGTTTGTTTATAAGCTGGCTGCATGGATGACTAATGGCAAGTGAGTTGCTTGATTGGTGGAAGAGGTAGTATGTATTGATTGAATGGACTGCTGGTTTTGTGTTGTTTATAAGCTGGCTACTTGGATGGTGAATGGCAAGTGAGTTCCTCGATTGGTGGAAGAGGTAGTGTGTATTAATTGAATGGAAGTTGCGTCATGGAATCATTAGACAGTATGGTAGTTAGGATTGTAACCGTGTGAATGATTGTTTTTTGTAGAACTCTTAAAGTGATTGGTATCCATGTAATCAGTGCTAGTAGAGGGTGGTTTTTAATTTATCATGATGCTAAAACTACTGGAATTGAATGAATGACTTAGGCAGTGGTTGTCCCTATAATTGTGTTTATGACATGAGATATCTTATCTAATTTTTTTAGCTGTCATGTTCCTCTCCTCTGTTATGGTTGACAAGAAGGGAAACAAATGTAAACAAATAATTAGACAATTGCTGGAGCCTTGGGCAGGGCGTGTTCCATGTAGAGATTCCATGGCTGTTTTGTGATGGTTTGTTCTGGTCATGTTATGGACAGTCATTGAGGAATTTTGGTAGCTTAGCCTTTGTAAGTTTCCCTACTCTTCGCTCTCTCTGCCTAGGATTTTATTGGGATACTGTGACACATAACAGAGTATGTAGGCTTCAAGGAAGTGCTTGGGATCTGAATTGAGTTAATAACACTTCTTCTAGGAAGGGATAGTGTTGGTCTTACGTTCAGTTGATGGTAACTGCAAGGAGTTGCATACTTGTTAGCATTGACTACATAGCTTTGCCTTTTTCTAGGTCTATGGGGACTGTATAGCTATGAAAATGCATGCATGCTTTGAGCAGGAGCCTTTCTAAAGCTTTTATGGTCTGTTTTGGGGAGGTGGTGATAGCCTTGTCCTCGGAAAGGAATACATTTTTTACTTTGTCTAATGCGATTAAGGTGAAATAAATGTAATTTAATTTATTGCATCAAATTGTTTGAGTAAAGGTCAAGAATCAGCTTTTATCAGTTCTTACCATCACTGTTGTTACATTAAAATCTTGCTGCTATAGCTTTTGAGTTGCCCCTTCCGCAGGCTGTTAGTCTTCCAAGAAACCTGGAACATGCTCATGATTCTCCTTTTGCTATTGTGGTACAAGCTCTTAGCTTTACTGGAAGCCTTAAATGAGAGGTGTAATACGACTTGACTTTACAGATTTTTGTGGTTAAAAAATCTCCATATATATGATTTCTAATTACAAGATATTTACAAATCTTCTAAGAGACCTGAAATACCCATGATCCCCTTTGGCTACCGCGATACAAGCTCTTAGCCTTAGAGGAAGAAGTAGATGAGAGTTGTAATTCGAGTTGATTTTTCAGATTTATGTGGTTCAAAAACCTCCATATACATGGTTTCTAATTACAAGAGATTTACAAATCTTTTATTGAAACAAAAAAGGTAGCCTGCTGCCTTCTTGTTTTGAATGTATCAATCAATCTCCTCTTTTCTTGTAAGATTTGGTTCCAACCTTTAAGCAAACACATTCGTAAAACTCTTAAAGTTTTCTTTAGAGGAATAAAATGGAGGATAATTTGATCTCAGTGATACTTATCAAGCAAGATAAATTTTTCCTTTCCCAGCTTGAATTTTGCTTAAAGTTAGGTGATCAACCACGTTCATCTTGAAAGGATAATTCCACTGATGATGTGGCGAATCGATAGTAGGGTGGTTATTATATTTGGCTACAGGGTTCTAGTGCCTGTAGGCCTTGATGGTCATTCAACATTGAATCTTGTCTCCTATAATGACAATTGATATAGTTTGTCATGTAAGAAGCTATGGTGTGGTAGGGAGTTAGAGCTCATGGTTTCATCACTCTGTCTCCGATGCCTAATGGTATAAATGAACTTTGGAGGGAACTCTTTTTGTTGTGCGTTATTTGTAAGTATTATTATTATTGGTTTTGTTTTCTATTGCTACTGTATTGGTGATGGCTTAATAGACTAGAGAGATTTAGAAAGTTATGTTTCATACGTAACTTGGCAATAGAATATCATCTATATTGACTTGTTTCATTTCTTGATCTGTCACATATAAGGAATCTAATACCGCAGATAATTTCTATAGGCTTTCTATACATTAACAACCGGTATGGCAGGTGATGTTCATGGTCAGTTCTCGGATCTTCTACGATTGTTTGAGTATGGTGGTTACCCACCTGAGGCAAATTATTTATTCCTGGGGGACTATGTTGATCGTGGCAAACAGAGCATAGAGACGATATGCCTCCTCCTTGCGTACAAGATCAAATACAAGGAGAACTTCTTCCTTCTGAGGGGCAACCATGAATGTGCTTCCATCAACCGTATATATGGGTTTTATGATGAGTGCAAGAGGAGGTTTAATGTTCGTGTCTGGAAGACATTCACTGACTGCTTTAATTGTCTGCCTGTGGCTGCTCTTATAGACGAAAAGATCCTTTGCATGCATGGTGGATTGTCTCCTGAGTTGAAGAACTTGGATCAGATCAGGAATCTTGCTCGCCCTATTGATGTGCCAGATCGTGGTCTTTTATGTGATCTATTGTGGGCTGACCCGGATAAAGATATGGAAGGCTGGGGAGAGAATGACAGGGGTGTGTCATACACATTTGGGGCTGACAAGGTTGTTGAATTTCTTCGGAAACAGGACCTTGATCTTGTTTGCCGAGCTCATCAGGTAATTTTAGTTAAATTAACCCTTATACTTTAGCAGTGGTGCATTTGTGCTGAAAGCCTGAAACTTTCTTGATCCAACTTCAGTTCCTGTCATTTTTGGGTGGACTATGTCCAAGAATCACATTTATCATTCACTGTTTTAGTGAAAGCTGCAGACATGTGAATGACTTCTAAATTTCTATCAGCAGAATTTTGCATGTCAAACCTCCCGGCAAACTTGTGAAGTAGAATAGATGGGATTGATCACATCATTATCAATCGTGTGTGTTTATGCCGGTGCACACATTTATGCATGCTCAGGGTATGCCTATCGGTTCACTTAGTAATATTTGTGTTTCATTCCTGTTTCTCCTCATGCCTTTGATTTCTAAGCTGTATGAAAAGGGCCTTGGCGATGCAGGGAATGCATTTTACTGTTCATGTGCAAAAAGATTCTATACTTGTAGCGTTTGCTAACTTAATGGTTTCCTTTTTTGTTTTTGCTTGTTTCATGTCTTTAGGCTTGATAAAAAAATTGGGTTGTCATTGTTATTTGGCCTGCTAGTTTACTCTCTGAGGGTGTCTTTGTATGTGCTTATTTGTTATGAGCCGTGCATGGAAATCCTTGTGTTAGCATCATGAAGTGCTTAATTAATGACTATCCGGTTTGTGGGAATGAGTGTGATCAATAGGTTGTTGAAGATGGTTATGAGTTTTTTGCAAAGCGACAGCTGGTCACAATATTCTCTGCACCAAATTACTGTGGTGAGTTCGACAATGCTGGTGCCATGATGAGTGTTGATGATACTTTGACTTGTTCCTTTCAAATCCTTAGAGCCTCTGAGAAGAAAGGCAAAGCCGGATTTGGCAACAACATTTTGAGACCAGGAACTCCACCTCACAAGGTATGTGAATTTAGTCACGCCCCATAGATTGGCATTGTGTTACTGTTCTGGCTTTTTTTTTTCTTGAACAAGCACTGTTCTGATTAATGACCAAGATTTGATAAGGTTGAATCCTGGTCAGTTTATTAAGACTAAATTCCTGAAAATCGTTTTCAAGCCTCCCCTCTCCTCGCCCAACAAAAATTGGAAAAAATAGGCTGTATCATTATCAAAAGATCTAAAATGCAAAATAGAATATCTTATTGGGAATTCATCATTACAGATTTCAACATGAGAATTCACCTAGAATGACAATGTATATCTGAAGGGGTAGTTTGACTCTGGAATTTTATTCCTGTGGGAATTGATGTAAATCATTTTTTTTCTGCAACAATTAAGGTGGACACAATTGTCATGGTTCTATACCAACCAATTCTCGTACTTCTCTTGTTAATCCAAAATTGTAACCATCTTTTAGCATCATATGTCTATCTTTGTGCTGTGTGCTGACTTGTCCACAATTTTTGTTTGCACTGCATTTTCTTTTGAGCAATGCAAGGCATTGTGAAATTATTAGCCTGAAGCCTTACTGCAACCTTTGTGAACTTTAGATTTTCATGAAAGCTTATTGAGTTTTAACACCCCTCATTTCTCTCTAGGGGAAGAGTTGATTGATTGCACAGCATTAAAAATCTGAAGTGGAATGTAGCAAATGGTGTTGGTTTGCTCTGTCTTGTGCAAGTCATTCTGGCCAGAATCACCTTCTTTATGGTTAGGCATAATCACTGTAACTTTTGAGTCCACTTATGGCACAAAAGATAAAATGTGAAGGCATAAGTTCCTGCACCTTCTGAAAGAAACCCTAGGCGCCTGTGCAAGATGAACGTGGAGACATTATGCTATTGAACCTTGTTAAAGGAGTTGATGCAGCTGTTCTCCTTGAAATAAAGTTATGTTTTAATTGATGTAAAATGGGACCTTCGTGACAATACTTCCTTTTCAGTTGCTTTCAATTAGGGCAAAACACTTTAATTGCGTCCCTGGCTGTTCCTCGCTTCTTTCTCCTCGCCTCCCTGGCTTGGCGCGCTCTATATTATATAAATGAAGAACGGTGACATTTTAACCAGATTTGTTTAGCATAGGTGATAGGATATCCTTTTGAATCACTGCACTCCTATTCGTTGCAAGAGAAACATTATTTTGGGATAGAATTGATGGGGTTCTAAAAGTTGGAATTTGTGGTTGAATTGCATCAGCACATCTTACGCAGTGAAGGCAACGAATTGCCTTCAGATAATTTTTTATTCTACAGTTCCCTTGGTAATTCATTTTTTCTGAGCAAATCCATGAAATCTACGGTTCCTGCCTTTCTCGTTAAACGAGTTTTGTTAACTGTACAAGGGAACCATTTCTTGGCCAATTTGGCAGTTTTGATTTCCGTTCATACAGTATTTCTAAAAAACAAATTGATTTTAAAAAAAATTATTTTTCAGATTATTTTAATATGACAATTTCAAAAATAATTTTAAAAATAAAAAATAATATTATTTTAATGTATTTTCAGGTAAATAATATTTTAAAAAGCAATTGTCACTGCATTTTCATAACTTCTACTTATATATATATATTTTAAATAAACCATTATGACTTGAACAAAAAAAAAATATATATTTCAATTTTAGTCCAAAATTTGCTTTTACCAAAAAACTGATTTTCTACAGATTCTTTTATTCAACTATGGTGATTATTTTCATATCAGTTTACGCAGTGTTTTCAGATGATTATAAAATCATATCTTTTATAATATTGTCATATATTTAAAGAATTTAATAAATCATTGGAATATTAGCAAAGAAAATTGAACACATTGATATTATCTTGTATTACATTCCTTTCTCAAGAAGATTTGCTTTGGGTATATATATATAAATCTGAATTATTCTCAGCACAAGTTAATTATGAAAAATGATTTCTGAACTGTAACTGCGCACTTCTGGAGAATATCTTTTTTTATGAATCACATCATGTTGACCTGTTCTGAGTGTCGTTAGCTGCAAAATTCTTGAATGTTGCTGTAGATGAGTTTTTTTGATTTTGAATATTTGTATTTTAACCATTGCATAGTGTTTTTTTGTATAACTTTTGCATACGCAATCCAATTTCAAGTGACTTTCAATAATGAAACACATCCTGACTTGCAAGAAATTTAATTATTTTTCAATGATCATGATGATTTCTTGTAAACTGGTTCTTACATATTAAAACAGGATCTTTTTATTATTTTAGTATTGAATACTGACCGAAAATTTTAATTTCATAATCATAAAAGTTAAAACTAAGGAAAGTAAAATACATAAAGAAATTAATTTATTTACCTTTCCATTCATAATAAAAAAACCGAAAAGATTAATGAATAATCTGCCACGAAATAATTTTGCATTTGGCGACAGCAAACAAACCCCCACCTGATTTTCATAGTTTATAAGGTATTGCTTGTTATTGAGGCAGAATTGAGTTTTTCAAAATAATTGATTTTTTTTATATTTTTGAATTTTTTATATGTTGGTATTAAAAATAAATTTTTAAAAATAAAAATATATATTATTTTAACATATTTCAAAATAAAAAACACTTAAAAAAACAAATGTTATCATAATATCAAACATTATCTAAAAGTCACAATATCAAACTCTCAACTACTCGAGAAAACCATCCCATTATAATAATATAGACCACCTATGCTAGAAGGCATTTTCATTATTAATCTCAAAACCAAGTTCTTCTTCTTATCCTAATTTAAATTGTTGGAGTTATGTCATGAGCTAAGTAATTTTTTTTCAATATATAAAAAGAATCCCATTGATGATAACATTTTCAAAGAAATTAGAAAAATCTTGTACTTGAATAATTAATTCAAATGAATTTAATAAATTTGATTAATTTAATAATATGTTTATAAAAAAACCAATGATAAAAAAATAAAAATGACAACGACTAGTAAAAAAAATGAACGTCTACCAAAGTTATGAAAAGACACCCACTTAATATTGTTAAAAGGTCTCAACGATAATAATAAAACAAAAAAAATAAATGAGAATGAGATAACTTCATCCAAAGAAAAAAAAAGAAAAACAAAGTTCAATTACTAACAAATCAATCATTTGAAGGGTGAATTGAAAATAAAATTAAAAATAACTAAAAAACTTGACTTGAGTTAGGCATGACATATCTGCAGTTTGATTATGAGATTGAGATAATTTTGTATAAAACAAATTAAAAAAAAAACAACAACAATGTAGGTCAACTCTTAAGCAAACTAAATGATGAAATGTGAAAAAAATAAATTAAAAATATATATAAAAAAAACTGAGTCAATCTAAGTTAACTAAATCAGTTCGAGATCCCAGAAATAAAAACGAGATTCAAGATAACCTTGTATGAATTAAAGCGAAAAAATTCATGAAGCTCGAGTTTTAACAACCTAATATTGAAGAATAAAAATAAAAATTAATTTAAAAAAAAATCTAAAAAAAGGACCAAAATCAAATTGAGCTAATCTTCAAAGCTTATGACTGAGTTTATAAAATTGAGATTACACTATAAAAGACAAATACAAAAGAATCATAAAGGAAAATTCCCAATTATTCAAATATTAAGAGATGAAGTTAGAAAAAAAATCAATCAAAAAAAGATTAAAAAACAAAATAAATAGCAATACATAAAATAAGGACCGAATATGATATAAAAACAAAATGAAATAAAACAATGAGGGACAAAAATGAAAGATAAAATATATTAAGAAAATTATAAAAACAAAAAAATAACTATAAAAAATAAAGACTAAATTTGATTAAAAAATTTAAATAAAATCAAATGATGATGGATGAGATTGAAAAACAAAATAAATTTAAAAAAGTATTAAAAACAAAACAAATAATAATTAAATGAGTAGAGACAACAATTAACATAAATACAAATTGACAAGATACTTTTAATTTTTAAAAGGGCACATGTAAAATTTAATGCTAGGAAAAAGAAAAGAAAAAAAAAAAAAAAAAGTTCATCGAATCCCAATCATTACTTCACTGGATATACGCGTCTGACTACCATGAAAAGGATATTAGGGAGCTTCCATCACCATAATGAAAAGTGATATTTGGCTACCAAGAGAAAATTCATGTGTTGCCTAAAAAGCATAGATGTCTCCTACTAACGGACCTACTAATTATTTTTATTTTTAAATAATATTTTATATTTTTTAAAATATTAAATTTCTCCTTAGTCAAGTTAATTATAACAAAAAAAAGGATGAAAATGCAAAAAAAACCATGAATATCAATTTTTTTTGTTTTTAAGGATAATATAGTCATTTTACCATGCTTTAAAAGTGAAAATCCAAAAAAGTTTATAGTAGCTAGTTAAATAATATTTATTTTAAAAAATAATTTGATTATTTTACTATAATTTTAAAATATAAAAAAATTGAATTATCCTTGATCAATTTTAATAAATGACCAATAAACTTCACGATCATATTACTCTTATGACATGTCATTAGTTTTTATTGAGAATGACAAGATGTTATTACCTCTACTCAATCTAATGCATGATTTTTTCTTTAATGATACTAAGGCTTGTTTGGAAGTGTAATAAAAGTTAAGTTTTAAAATATTTTTTATTTTAAAATATATTAAAATAATATTTTAATTTTAATTTTTAAAAATTATTTTTAACATTAATATATTAAAATAATTTAAAAATATAAAAAAACTAATTTTAAACAAAAAAGTTCAAATTATGGGAAAATAAAATTTTGACTACATCGCCAAACGACCCCTAAAAAACTCAATTGGACCGCACCTCCACCCTGTAAACACTTTACACATAAAACATGCTTTTACATAAAAACCCTCCTCAACAGTATAATGACACCCTGTCTTATGAAGAAGGGTAATGCAAGTGAACATGCTTGAGATAAAATGATCGGAATAATGCCGCCGCTGAAAAATAAAGCAACAAATATCAGCATCATTAGCAAACTCGTTTAGAGTCCATGTTGTAGCGACTATTTTGAAGAAAAATGAGAAACATGAGAATTTAATCAATGTTAGTGTAATTAACATATATTGATGTATTTATGGTGAGCTATAATGAATTTAATAAATTTATTTAGTTGTGATTAAATATTTAATGAACTTCGGAGAAGAATTGAGGAGAGACATAACTAAGATTTTAAGTTGAAATACATAAATTATATGAAACATGTTGGCTTGAATAATTATTGCATGTGTGAGATGCAAGCTTTGTTAAAAAGAAAAGATTGAGAAAAGTATATATTTTGAAATTTCATAATGGACATGTTTTCCTTGTATGTGTGTCGGTGAATATTGATTTGAAAGAAAAATCAAGCTATTAATTGAGCTAATAGGGGATGTTACTAAGCTTTTCTAAGTAAAAAAAAAGTTTCTGAGTTTATTTAAGAGTATCTATATATGAAAATAATTTGGATTTTTCAATGCAATTGATTTAAGAATTTAAAATCTATATAGAAAATAAAATCGACTTTTATAGTGAATGAATGACAAATAATATATTGTTCGTGCTAGTACAGGAGAGGACTGAGGACATACTCAACATCATGAGATCATGTCATGTGCTTAGATATCAGGTATATGTTTGATAGTTTAAAACTAAAATATTATTTAAATTGTAATCAAAATCTTCTTTAAAAGTATTTTGATTTTATTTGAAAAATCTTAAACAATCAGAGAAACTGGTCACCTTGATAGGACTAGTGCCTTGATTAATGGGTAATTAAAAAAATTAGTTACTTTAATTAATAAAATTAGTTCTCTAATTAAGCAATTAAAGAAACTAGTTTCCTGATTAATTATTAATTGAAGAAATCAATTAATAGGGTAAAGGAACAAATGCTCGGTTTAGGCTAGAGAGGACACTAACATGTCTTTAAATTATGCTAATTGTATTGATTTGTAAGGTTAATGGTAAAATAAAAAATTAACTGTTTAGTAAT